CTGGAAAAGAGACCGTAGAAACAGGCTGTTTTTGGCCTGTTTGACCGAGCTCGTACATTTGCTTCAAATGAAAGTTCACGATGGAATACTGTGATGAGATGAATATGTTTCCAAAAATACGAGTTGAGTTTGAATTTTGTTTTTGACCTACCAGTGATTGAATTTTTCTATTGGCTTATGAGCTGTAGAATATTCTATAAAGTATCACATTGACGATACACGTTCTGAAAATATTTTTGATCTTAGACAATTGATTATACAAGATTATTTTTGATTGAATTCTTTTATTCTATTCCTAAGGTATATCTTGCTAACTTGTTTTGCATCATTAACTTCAGTAGTATCCCATACTACATTTAACCCAATCGAAACTTAAACCCTATTTAACAGTAGCTAGAGAATGAAATAAAGGCACAACATAACATTTCGGGAATATTAATATCACGTCACACGCTTTCATTTAACACACATCTGAATAAAATTTTTCGGAATCGACCAAACAGGCCAAAATTCCAATGGCTCATTGTGATTCAAAGTGAAACGTTTCTTGTTTAATATACCAAAAGGTGTGAGGAAAATCTATATCTATCAGCCTATCAAGTTTCTATCGATCATCAAAATATCCCATACATCGTAACAGAAAATTGTCAAAAATTTTTATGAAATCCCTGAAATCCAAAGGTTTTTTACTAACAGATATTTGCAATATCACTCTGTATATCCAATACCGTTGTCGCATCTCATGATACTGAATCAGAACATTATCAGAGCATAAAGTATTTTTATCTTAATAGTGTGCGTATGGTTACACAATAGTATCTAATTCTATATACTGCATAAACACTATGTGAAAGTGTTCCCCTTTTGGCTGGCTTGGAACTTGACAAAAATATAAAAGCAAGATTAGAACTTATTTTGTGATTTTTCGATCCTAAGATAACATAAGATAATAATAAATGAAAGTTAGAGAAATGTGTTTCTTCACACTGAAATTTTGAATATGCTTTCACCATAACAAAATGTATTATCATAATTCTTACCAGCTTGTGAAATCCAAACCTTACGTTATAGTATATATACAATGGACTTGAACCTTGAGACCGATTATGAAAATTTATATAGGTTAGTCTTGTTTTATAGTATGTAGACGGTTTTAAAAACTGTATCATATTATAACGTTGAAATGTCACAATATCTGTATAAAAATGAAACATAATTGATGTATCTAAGTGGAATATCATTGAAAGAGGGTTTTTAAAGTGTAGGCTGATATGACGCAACATTTTTTGCATGAAAAATTTGCATGAGCATGAATGCAAAAATGAAAAGAAAGATACGTTAAAATAACTTTTTTCAATTCACTATAATACAGGGTGGCGCAGAGGAAACGCACGATTTTCACCTAAGCATAACATTTTTTATTTTCAAGATAACTTTGTTTCAGTTACAGCTAAATAAAGTAATGATAGTGCACTTTTAAACTAATGATGGTAAATAACGTCACTCAAGTGTCGCCCTGCTTCGCGCTCGCACATCTCCAACCGCTCTTGAAAGTTGTGCATTACACGTAAAATCATTTCTTGTGGTATTCTTGCAATTTCTTGACGAATAGCAATTTTCAGTTCCTGTAACGTACGAGGCTTGTGAGGGTACACTTTATCCTTAAGGTAACCCCACAAAAAGAAGTCGCATGCGGACAAATCTGGGGAGCGTGGGGGCCAAGGGACATCGCCGAAACGGGAAATCACATGTTCAGGAAACATCTGTCGAATCCATTCCATTGATGCTCTCGCTGTGTGAGCTGTGGCACCGTCTTGTTGGAACCACAGCTCTCCCATGTTTACTTGTTGCCGTTGAAGTTCGGGTAACAGAAAATTTTGTAACATGTGAACATAACGTGCTGAAGTAACTGTTACTGCTCTTTATTCCTCTTCAACAAAGTAAGGACCAACGATACCTAATTTACTGATTCCGCACCACACAGTTAATTTTTGACTATGCAAGGGTCGTTGGTGTAGCTCTCGTGGATTTTCGGCCGCTCAATACCTACAGTTCTGCTTGTTTACATATCCTGTTAAATGGAAGTGTGCTTCGTCACTCATCATTATGACGACGTCAGGATCGTCAGCAAAAATGGCCCGCATTCTCGCACAAAATTCTCTACGCTGTGCAAAATCGCTTTCCGTTAGCTCTTGCACGATCATTATCTTGTACGGATGATATTGTAAATCGTCATGCAGAATGCGTTGTAACGACCGACGGGACATACGCAGAGTTGGAGCTTGGCGCCTAGTGGACCGTTGGGGACTATCAAGGACCGCTCTTCTCTCTGTTTCGATATTGCCTGGAGTCCGCACGGTACGGGGAAGGCCAGGTGGCTTCCTCTTCATTACGGATCCAGTACTTCGAAATGCTTCAACCCATCGGAGTATTGTGTTTCGATCTGGAATTGGCCCGTGGCGTTCAACATTGAACTGTCGACGGAATAAACGTTGCACGATCACTACAGAATCATCGTTTCGAAAAAATTGCTCGACGGCAAACACACGATGCTCCGTCATCCACGGTGCCATGGCTGAAACTGCATCGCATGTGTTCTCTGCTGGCGGTGCGGCGAGGTCATATCCCTATTCTGTGCGAAATACCATTCGGTCAGAAAACATGCGTTTCCTCTGCGCCACCCTGTACTAACTCACCTTGCTTAGTAGTAGCTGATCAGTCTGTTTAAAAATCAAGAAAAGCTGAAGATTCATAGCAAAGTGTAAAGTTATCTCTCTCTCTTTCTTTCTATTGTTCGTCACTTTTCGTCAGAGCGCTCCGTGCGACCTTTGCTTTTGGTTAGAGTATCGTAGGTGAGCAGGTATACGCAAGGAAGGAGGTAGAGCGGAGAAGAGAAAGTACGTGAGCTAAAAGGGTGCCTTAGCATTATAACTAGTATTCAATAATTTTAAGTTGATTGGAGAATCAATTTAGAAACATGTATCTATGTGTGGGAAAAAATGCAATTTTGGTGGTATCTAGAATTGCATGATTTAATTCTGTTTACAGTTCGAGCCGCGGTCTTGTGTGCTTGCGAACTTGTCTAACTGGGTGTTCCATCGACTTACGCAACAGAGGGTTGATGTAAGATTTCGCTTGGATGGAAAGACAGGGGAACATGTGATCCGCCTTCAGTACAAGTTTGAACTCGCTAGAGTCATTTGGTTATCCATCAATTTCGAGCAACGTGCTATCAGGTTTTGCTTGGGACTTGGGCACAGTGCAACGGAAACTCTTGCTAAACTTCACAGCCCTACGGAAATAATGTTTTGTGAAGAGCCCAGGTTTTTCGGTGGCTTAAGGCATTTTCAGAAAGGACGGTGTCGATTCAGTATGAAGCAGGAAGCGGAACGCCTTCATCTTTAAGAACCGATGAAAACATCTACAGTATCCGGGACCTTGTGCGTTGACATCGTCAGTTGTCAGTCAGAATGATCGGGGAAGAGTTAAAATTGACTCACACCACTGATCATCTGATCAAGAACAACTGGGTGTTGCATCACGTTAACGTTAACGAGTTTTTGGCCAGCAAAAACATTCCTGTGGCCCCCTCAGCCTCCTTATTCGCCTGACTTGGGTCCTTGTGACTTTTTTCTGTTCTCGAAGTTGACAGTCGAAAACGGTTATAATCGACCAGCTGTAGGCTATTCCAGTATCGGTCATCCAGCACAGAACCGCATCCAGCGCTGCGTGGAGGAAGTTATTCTGAAGGTGACAATAAGAAATGGTAATTATATTTGAATAAATAAATTGAAACACAAATCAGTCTCATTACTTAATTCACAGACCTTGTATTTTACCTCTGGTAACATTTCAAATACACACAAGCAGTTTAGATTCGATGAGACTTTCGAGAAAAGCAAATGATTAAATATGATGCCGCAACGGCAGATAACTGATTCTTTACTTGGTACCTACTTACAATGGCCTCCTCGGAATTTAAAAATAGCGTCAAGTAGTTTGACTCTGCACTTCTCATGCAACGCTGTCATCAGTGCTTCATAAAGATTTTCCCTGCTCTACCGGTAGTGAATTGCAGAACTCACACAAGGTATAATACGGTTTATTATGCTAAAAAGTTTTTTTTAAGTTCATGGCGGAATATCTCTAAATTGCTAATTCCTATGGTACCATCAGGAAGGCACACGTAAATTTTCAGAACATTATAAATTATTGAGTCTTTCACAGTAGTGTTGGTACTATTAATTTAAGATCTTGTTTTCGTCTAATATTGTAACTTATATTCGATGTTTCAGATGTAGATATATTTTAAAAAATAAGTGTTGCTGTTTCTAAAATGAACAGAGACATGACACTCATTATTTTATGATTTACAAATAAAAGCTTTCATATAACTATAGGCTTGCCTTTAGTTATATAGCTCATTTTGGTAGAATAAGCACCTTTTTTGAACAAGTATGAGAACAGATCCACCAAAAGGGAATATCTCTGTTTACTTTCAAATAAGGTAAAGCAACGGTTGAAGGCTGTGCTTCCCCCTACCCTGTAACTAATGGTTCTTTTAATGAAGGAAATCCTTGCTAGTTGAGTAAGTAATTTGTCCATATGGTTAGTGAAATCTAATTTATGATCAATAGTCACACCAAAAAATTTGATGGCGTTTGTTTTGTGTATCAATGTATTATTTCCATTTATAAAATTAAGGGAGCATTTAAATAGCATTAATTTCATCTTATTAACATTGAAAGTCAAGTGATGGTTGTTACACAATTTTGGTCTCAATTTCATTCATATCGTTGTCTTGCCAAAGTATCGTGGTTTCGTCAGCAATGCCTAAGTTTGATATTTAGAAACCCGTTACCCTGGCACTTTACATTGATAATTGGAAGAAATAGGTTTTAGAATAGGGAAAAAAGATAACAACAAAGTTCTAAAAAGTATCTATTTTCGATTATTTTTAGAAAAAAAAAGAAGAATTACTTAATTCCACCAGCTTTTCCTTAAAATGCATGGATGATGGGTGCACCAGCAGCGTAGGTTAGTGGGGCAGCGATCACAGGGGCAGCATGGGCAGTCACAAGAGGAGCAGCATATGCTGTGTGTGCCAGGATTGGTGCAGAGTAGGCAGCTACGAGAGGCTTACTGACGACGTCACTCCTGAAGGTATGACTGACTGCAGCAGGGGCAGCAACCACGGCAGGGGCGGTGTAAGCCAAAGCGACGCCGCTGGGCTTGGCACAGGCGACGGCCAGAAGGGCAGACAACACCACCAGCTTGAACATCTTGAAGTAGGTCTGTGTTGTTTTCGGTTCGTACGAAGGAACTGATGCTTTTCTGGTAGTTTTGATGTGTATTTATAGGGGCGAGATGTATGCACAAACCTGATTCATGACTTTTGGATACATTAGCGGATAAACAAGCCTTGATACGGGTTGCAGCAATTGGCGGTAGACTGGTTTTTAAAAAGTCAGCTTTGTCTGCTGTACGTTGACCCTTGTTATTTTTATAGCATGTTTCATTGACTGAGCGAAATTGCTTTAATGAGTGATTCGTTGAAAATGGTAGACATGGATACACATCGGAGAAATAAAATTATATTCACCTCCTTTTCCTTGAAACACAGTATAACATTATACTTAATTTAATGTAGTTTTTTACATTTTCATAATTTGTACGTTGAAGAAATAGTGACACTGGGGCATAAGTGTGGTTCCTGATTCTACAATACATTAATACAAAACAATAAAGTTTATTACTCTATCCTCCCGATAGAAAGTGAATATCCATTATATTTCGGGCACAGGTGTAATAATAGATGGAGATGCGTCATTGACTGTCAATCACCTTGTTCCTGTCGTTACCATCCACTTGACAATTATCCAACCAATTACCGTGAGGAATATTTCCTGGAGGGCGCATATAAAAAATTGTGGGTGTGCTCTCGAAGAAATACACCTTCTCATATCAATTATATGATACATTATATACGAATTAGACAACCAAAACAACCCAAATATATACCGCACACATGTGGCATTCCGAGCCGTAATTTTTTTTGTAAAGACTCTTTTCGTCATATCCGAGTTTGGGATGTTACGTGAAGCCGAATTTTCTTTTTGGGTGAATCGAAACGAAGCTACTGTAATGAGATGTTGTCGAGCATGGTTCCAAGAAGGCCGAACTCGGCGAGTTAGAGGTACTTGACGTCAAATAGAGACTACAGAGCGACAGGATAGTTATTTGAGGCGAGTAGCACTTAGATATCGATTTTCAAAAACAGGGGCAGTTGCGAGTCGGTGGTTTGATGTTGTCGGAAGGGCAATAACAATAAGGACAGTTTATCGCCGAATAAGGTCTTTTGGACTTTTTTATGGAAACATTGCAAGATACACTTTTTCAGCAAGACAATACACTACCTCATGTCGCACGTGTTAGTTTAGACTTTTCAGAAGCGTCCGGAGTAAATCTGCTTCAGTGGCCTTCTCGACCTCCAGACCTTTCCCCCATCGACCATGTATGGGACATGATGGGAAGAAGGTTGAAAAATTCACCGCACCTTCCACAAACATTGGAGCAATGCCGCGATGACTTAACGAATGTATATGTATACCGAACAGAGGAGCTTCGGTACATTATTAACACTAAGGTAAGATATATCAGTTATGTTGCGAAATTTCGAGCAAAAATTTTAATCACTTTCTAAACTGTATCCATCGAAGAAACAAAGTAAAATCAAACATATACACCCGTATTGCACGTGATCAAGAACTTAACCGTAGGAGACGCTACAGGGCCGTATCAAGCTATTGTGACTGATCTATCAAAAAATGTCGTACAAGATATGTGTTGCTGTAAATTCTATCAAAAGCATAGTAAATTATCAGGAATATACCACGCCTTTCTAATCATATTTCGTCATTAGGAATCAGTGCAAAAAATTCTGTATTCACCATTTCAGCAAAATGTTACTCAAACGCACACGAAAAAACTTGTGGACCATCTCAATTGAAATTGTTCATATTTTATTATTAACTTACATATATACCCAATAATATTTACAAATCAACCTTCTATTCACAATGCGGAGCAAATTTTTTTGAGCAAATAGAAACTACAGACGTAGTAGTAGTAGTACAAAAGTTTATTACAGACTCCAGAAAGTTTGTTAGTTTGATTGCTATTAAAATTTACATGAGAAATAGGAAGAAGGTCAAAATGGCACTATTATGCTTTGGAACTCCTAAATTAACCCTAATTTTGTGTAATTATAAATTTGGAATTTCCACATTAATAACTAGAAACTTACACTTTGATTGCAGTCTATAATGAACTTACCTGACTTGCCAAAAAGCCCGTTAAACTGCCAGTCTTAATGGTATCAATCGATTTATATGCTGTATTCCGAGGAGCTTGAATCATCAGAATTGTTGATGTCAATTATAAGGGCTTCAACTTGGGTGTCAATGATATTGTCCATATCCCACATTTTGGTTTCAACCTTCTCTTGGACATGGTCAATACATGTTCTCCATTTTGCTGGCGTAATTCTATCGACAGCAACATCAAACAGTTTTTTAAGGTCAGAAAACTTAAAAGTGCTGTTATTTGACCACGTATTGCTTGATGTCGGCCCAAATCAACTCGATAGGATTCAGTTCGCAGTGATAGGGAGGCAGCCTGAGAATCGTTTTATTTTAGTTTTTGGCCATTTCGTCAACAATTTTTAAATCATATTTATACTTATGTCGCTTGACTATATTTATCAGCTCAGCTTTGACCATTGTTTGGTCGAAGTCGATCTTCTTTGAGACAAGCCACTGTTGAATGTCTGCCATTGTTGGAATTTTTTCCAATTTTCTGGAGTGGTACGGGGCATTATCCATTACAATAATTGCGTTATCATCAAGTGTCGGCAAAATTTTTTTGAACCAATTTTCAAATGAGTTACCATCCATTTCTTCGTGATAGTCTCCAGTTTTTTTGGATTCAAATGCCCACAATGCTTCAGGAACAAATCCATCTACGCTACCTATGTGGCAAATGATCAGGCGTTTTCCCTTGCCTGAAATTAATTAGTTATTTTACTTCTCAGCGAGCGCACTAAATGACGAAATTAAGCAACTTACTCTTTTTAGGTTAGTGTAGGATAGGGTCTTAGATTAGTTTTTGTGTGAAGGAAATACTCAGAAACTTGGATGAGATAGCAAAACTGAGTTCGGAGCTTCCAAATCATTGATTCGATCAGAAAATGAATTATCTGCATCCAAAAAAGTTCATATACTTCGAAACTTACCTGCAGGATTTTTCAATCCCGTCGAAAGGCCATCTAAAAAAGCCTGCCTTGAGGACCTCACAGATCTGTCTACCCAAACCTTTCCCTGCGTATGCCCCGCGTTCACCCATGTTTCGTCTAAATAATAAATTTTTCTTCCTTCAGCGCGGAATTGCCTAATTTTTCTAAGGTATTCTCTCCTCCAGATAACAATTTCCTCCTTTTCTATCAATAAACTATTCCTTCCTCTTTTCAAAAATCGAAAGTCTAGTTCTTTCAACAGCTTATGGAACGTAGATCTTTTAAAATTTGGCAGGTCCTCATCATCATTCTCTTGCTTCAATATTTTATCTATTGTAGGTATTTCATTCCTGAAGAAAAAGTGATGTAGTTTTCTTCTAATGGCACTTTTGTCAAAGTCATCTATTTTTTCGATGATTTTTTTTCTCGCTGGGTATGTTTTTGGCTCAGATAGTGAGTGATTTTGTCTATATTCATTCAAGATTTTGTAAACACTTGATCGACCTACTCCAGAAATTTCAGCAACCTTACATACGATATTTTCTATAGCCAATCCACTATTCTCTTGCATCTGGTTCTTGTAGATATTTAGAATAATTTGTTTTTCACCTGCGCTAAGATGAAGCTTTTTAGCCCTTTTTCTGGCGTTAAGCTGATTTCAACCACTTCATCAGCTGTATCTGTGTCAGACATTTTAGACTAATATTAAATTTCCGCAAGAAAAATCAAGTCAAGACGTGCATAAAACGTTCGCGCTCATAAACTGGTATCCGTAACTGATTACAGTCCTGTGCGTGGTGACGAACCATCAACGTGACGCTGAGAGTTCCCTCTACTATGCAGCGTTGCCAGGCTTAATGTCACAATGATCATGTTTTATTGGGAAAATTGTCAGAAATCGCAGAATGTTGAACAGAAACATTACAAGAAGTCTAACCTTGAAATGTGAGGCTACAAATCGATATTCTTATAGGGGGGAAGGGTAGGGAGCTGTTATGGTTCCTATTAACCTGAAAGTTGGAAACGGTAATATCATATATGGCATACATTCGGTTGAAGGTGTGTGCACGGAAAATAGATTGCGGATAGGATTTTAATAGATAAATCTGCACAAAAAACACAAAAGGAGATTTTTGTATTTCCCTGAAGAATATCTCAAGGTTATTTCAGATGTACTCATCGAAACTTTATGGAAGGATTATCGAAGCCTTATTTTCAATTGCGATAGGGCCACATACCTCGACATCGCATTAATGTGAAAAATAAGACAATAGAAAAAAATTCCCTCACTGATGCTATCTCTTAGGAAAAATTTAACTATAAAGATTGCACAAAAATTTTCTTCACCTTTTTGAGCTTGTTTTCGCATCTCCGTATATGCCGTTCATAATTTGCTGCAGATCAAATTGGAATATACCTTTGTGATGCCATTTATTGTTATATAATGTCCTTTACAACAGTTATTGCACGTATTGCACCAACAGATTGATTTGTGATCCATGCGAATGTGATCAACCACTCTGGCGAAAACTCGCCGAGCGTGGCAACCGTGCGACTTTGTCTGGAGGCTCGTCGCTACAAGCCAATCAGGAAGAGGCCGACAGAGCGCCATGGCTACCGATCACGCGTTGATCACGAATCAACCACTGTTTACGATTACTTTGTGGCTTCGTTAGATACACTATAGTTATCAGTAGACCTAAAACTTGTAAAAGTATGTTCAAAATTAGAGCACTCCTAGTCGGTGTTGTATTTTCTATGTCACAGTATAGAATCCTGGTACTGGTTTTGAAAAGACCCATTCAAGTACCTGCCGCCGAGTAGCGCATGCAAGAGGCACTTAAATCCCGGACTAGTGATGCTTATGCAATGAACCCCAATTACGCGGTATTATTTTGGAGAGAAAGAGTAAGCTTTTAACAGTTCTACATCAGATAGTTAAAAAAATCGGATTAGCAATGTTTCTTTAAGCTTATTATAGCAGCCGCG